CTTTTTTCATTTCATTGACTTTTTGAAGAGTCTAGGCCAAGTGTTATAAAATATCTCACATTGTATAAATCATAAATCAGTGAATTTTCCTGATCGTTTCCTCATTGTATCCCCCTATATGTCCTATAATTTGGAAGGTAAGGATAGAGGCTTGACTAGATTCAGTTAAATCTTTGCTTCACAGGTTGTGTTAGAACTTATTGCATTACATGCAAACCTTAAGTTTTTTTTTTTTTGTCTTTTGTGTGTATATTAAAATTTCTCCATAATAAAAAGCAAAAGAAAACATTAGTGCTCGTGAGGGGGGTTGTATCAAGGAGAGAAATAGTTAAAGGCTAGGGGACCTCTTTTTGAGGTGATGGAAATGTTCTAAAATTAACTGGAGTGATGGTTGCATATATGTGAATATTTCAAAACCACTGAACTGTACATTTTACATGGTTACAGGTTATAACACTGCCTTTGATGTAGCTCAGTGTTTTTAGTTCTACCTTTCTCTTTCCCAGAATAGCTACCATTTTACATGGGTGAATTGTATGATATCTGTATTATATTTCAATAAAAGTGTTAAAAGTAACAAAAACACAACAGAGAGCCATTCATGTGTCTGCCATAGGGCTGATACGGCCAGGTTTCAATTGGGAATAATATGCTGACTGAGAATACACCCCAGGAGGCAGTGGCCATGGCTTTCAACCCAGGGGAAAATATGTTCTCCTAAGAATAAGGCCAACTCCCCACAGTGGTAGGTCAATCCAGATTTGCCCTTGAGTTAAATTGCTATTAATACAAAAACAAAAATAAAAACCCTGATATTATAGGCTAAATTGTGTCCCCCATAAATCGTACGTTGAACTCTGAACCCCCAGGACTCATGATGTGACTATATTTAGAGATAGAGCCTTTAGAGAGGTAATAAAGGTTAAATGAGGTCATTAGGATGGATTCTAATTTAATATGACCAGTGTCTTTATAAGAAGAGGAAATTGGGACACAGATTAACATAGAGGAAAGACCATGTGAAGACAGAAGAAGGTGGCCATCTACAAGTCAAGGAGAGAGACCTCAAGAAATTAACCCTGCTGATACTTCGATCTAGAATGTTTAGCTCCAGAACTGGAGGAAAATATATGTCTGTCGCATAAGCCACCAAGTCTGTGGTACTTGTTATGGTAGCCCTAGCCAACTTATACACCTGACTTCCTTGAGGAACAACATATTTGGTGTTGACTAACTCATGATTCCCCCAAGAAAAGGAAAAAGGTTTCAGAACCTGGAGATGCAGAGCAAGTGGCATATCAGGAGATGGCTTTGCTCTTGGTATCAGTTACAGGCCCAGACATTATAGTTTCATGTGGAGCATACCTTTAACTCTGCCCCAATACAAGCTATTCATAACTCTTACTCCAGCATATTGCTTTGGACAAACCAGAGGCCCCTGACCACATGTGCAACTTCACTTGTTCTTGCAGATTTGGGGGAATTATCTAGCTGTTCCTGATCCTACAGTTCAAATATCCCACATATCCACTCTCAGTGGCAGCCTTAGGGAACCTGTGAGGAGGTGAATTGCCTAGAGTTCCTCAAATCATTCTCTTTTGAGTCTTTTAAAGAATAACTACAACTATGTCGTTCCAATGCTCCTCACTAGGACAGATGCGACAATGAATAGCCATAGTAAATGCACAGCTTAGAATGGATGTCATCAGTGGCTTTAAGTTTAGCATTGTAGCAGCTGCCATGGGGCACCAGTGGTTTGGCTCCCATTACCGCTTGAGTGTCATCAATTTTTGCTCATGGCTGATGTAGCCTGAATACTGACTAGAGTTTCCACTAGTGGCCTCTTCCTGACATCAGGACATGCTCTGTGACTTGCCAGAGTTGCCACAGGTATGGTATAATTGCAATTGTTCTGGCCACTACTCCCCTGGAAAGTAACATAGTCTCCGTGAGGGGATATAGTACTTTTCAATTTTACCAAATGGGAATCAAAGTATATAATTAAGGTATACAGTCTGTGCCCTGTGGCCTTGAAAGTGCAGCTATGGTTGCCTTATTCAGTCTCAGGGGAATATATGTGGTTGTGATTATTCTCACGGTACCCAAATCTTGGGTGACTATTGGTTCTGTGCATGTCCATCCACAATTCATACGGCACCAAGTTGGGAAACTGAGTATCTTCTAAATGCCTCATCCATATATAAAACAATGTAACTGGAAAAAAACGGGGGAGAAACCTTTAGTATCATCATAAAATGCCACTGTATAGTCATTCCTAGAAACTTTTAAGTCTATGGACTGGCCCATCAAAGGTGGAAAACATTGTTCTTAGTTAGCGGGAAATTCCTAAGCAAACATCACCTGAGGAACACTCACAGGTTAGAAAATGGAGATGGGGCATCACATGTCCCTCCTTCTGTCTTTTCATGTAAAACATTAACATGCCTTAAAATGGAAACTACACCCTTCCTCCTTTGGCATCCACCTGGGTAAAGTACAAGTCCCTTGGCCCTGTGCATATATTAGTGGGAAAACTTTTGTGGTTAAGTAAGGTTTAAGTCAATAATGTCCTATCCTGGGTCAAATACAGCTGACACCGTAACACCTTCCTTCCTCCTTGCCCCCCCCACCCCCCCGCCCACCAGGCAAGTGCTCCTACAGGGCCCTATACAGCTAGAATGCAGCTAGAACGTATCCTAATGTTAGGGGTAGTTTTTTTGTTTTTTGTTTTTTAATCTTTCTACAGAGCAAAAGCCATCCTGTAGGTATTCAATTTATCCCTAACATTAGAGGTTTTCATGAATGTATCCTCTGTTGCACTCCCAAGAGGTCAATAATTTGACAGAAATGTCTCCCAACACAAGACAGTATGCAGTAACTTGTTAGCACCCAAAATCTCTTGATCTTCCCTATTGGATTTAAAAGCTGAATGGCCAGGGTTGGGAATGCAGAGCATAGCTGTGGGATATTTTCTTTGTGTGTGTGAGAGGTAAGAGGGTAAGTGTCCAGCCCTAGCACCTTTACCATATTTGACCACCTGGGGCATACCCATCTCCTGGGTATAAATTGTCTGGTTTCTAAAAATAAAATTGAGAATTCAATCATATTGCTTACTGATACTGTTCACTCTTTTTCTGCACTGTAGACTCACAGAGGGAGCAGAAGCTATGTGCTAAAATTAAAGATTTCCACACTTACTTCAGGAATATTTTTCAGAAACGTGTGCAAAATAATAAAAGCTCTGCATGACTTCTCGCCCTCCAAAAACTAAAAAAACAAAACAAAACAAAACAAAACCCTAACTCATGTGGATTTTCTGATGTCAAACAAGGAATAAACTATAACCAAGGCATTCAAACTTGCAATGAATTCTTCTAAGTGTAGTTTCTGGTGGATTAATTTTCTATAACTGAATGTTTTCTCGCTTACCTCAAGAATAGGTTCTTTTCCCAATTTGGAGTTGCTGAGGTAAAATAAAGTCTGAGTTATGACTGAAGGTTTTTCCACATTCAGTTCTTTTACAACGAAGCTATTCAGAATCGATAGAGAACATGAAAAGGAGGCTCCATTGGGTCTACAGTATGAGAGCAGAGCAAAAAAAAAGACAAAAAGCCGGCTCTACGTGAAGGTTTTCAACCAGATTAAAAATCATTGAGGTACTTTACCACTGAAGTACGTATTAGCAATGTAAATTTACAACTAACCTGGCTGGCTTCAGATCCAAAGAGACAATTTTAACAGCATCCAATTAGATTCTAAAAAGATTCAAGGAAAACCCACTTTCCTATTTGGGGGCAAATATCAGGACTGGAAAGACCTCATAATTGACTAATGAAGAAAAACTTCATTTGTGTTTTCCATAACTAAAAAGCCCCTGCAACCTGAAGTGGTAAAAAGACATTTGAAAAAAAAAAATTCAAAAACTGGAGTTCCAAAGAGAAACAAATTAAACTTGACAATCTTGACAGAAAAATTAAAAGGAAACCACAATGTACATTATGTATGAAAATGGAGCTCTAACTACATATACGAAACAGTAAATTAATTTTATAGAGCAGGTAAAACTTTATGCCACTCTGACATTCCAGTAAAAATGATTTCCAGATGTATGTCATTACGAATATTGGCACAGAAGAAGAGACCTAAAGAACACACTCAATGAAGAAATCAAAATATTGCTAAAGATTTGTCTCTCCCAATTCCCTCCCTAAGAATGGATCAGACTCAGGTATTTTCACCTTTCAAAAAATAATTCCCACATTATGCAAACTCTTCCAAAGTAATACAAGAAAAATAAATTTTCCAAATACATTTTACAAAGCCAACAAAACCTTTGTAAATTCAATCTAGTTCTATACTTTAAAAAATCACAAACAAATGGCTTTTATACCAGGTATACAAAGAAATTTCAATTATTTAAAAACTTGTCAAAAAATTTACAAAAAGAATGATATGACCCATAAAATTACACCAAGAGTTCTTTTAAAACTTGCTATAATTTAGCAATCATCTTAATAAAAACTCTTTAAGTATAACTGCTATAACGCATACTATGTGCCAAGCACCATTTTAAGGGCCTTATACCTATGAATTAATATCCTAACAATTCAGTGAAGTAGTTCCATGTTATAGATGGAAGAACTGAGACACAAGGAAGCCAAGTGACATTCCTAGGATCACACACCTAAGAAAGTGGTGGAGTCAGGATTGAACCTAGAGTTCTAGGCACAAAATCTGTGTCCTTAACTATGATGCTATCTATATTGCTTCTTCTAAAAATAGGAATAGAAGGTAAGTTCCTACATACAATAGAATATGCATCAGAAATCAATAACGAAGTAACAATAGTGAGACTTCGAGTACATGTAGAAGATATCAATGAGGTATTTGTATGTGATATGAGATGCCACTTCCACCTTTAGATGCTTCTGGTCTGGTTAGGGAGAGGGACAGGGAGACTGTACCCAATTTAAGTAAGATTCAACTAGAAAATTGTTTTAAAAAATTATTTATTAACAATGTATGAAAATTATTATCTATATGCTAAAAGAAATAATTACCATACCTAACCTCAAAGAACTTACAATAAATTTGTATGTATACATATATGCACTGAGAATAATTTACAAGGCAATTTATCAACAGCTGCACATTGTAGCACCAGCTAATTCAAAGTACTGAGGTCAAATGAATAAAAAATTTAAGAGGAATGAAGAAATATTTGAAGACAGTCTTCCAGAGATGAGATGGATCTAATAGGTTCTGAGGGACACAGATTAGCAAACGGGAAGAAGAAAAGGTTTTCTGGGTAGGGTACACAAGTGATTAGAGTCTAGATTGGAGTAGAAGTTTAAAAAGTAGGTAAGAAGGGCCATGACCAAGAGAAAGGAAAGAATAAATCAGTCTTAGAGAATGACTTTATGTAAATGGTGAAAGAGGTAGAATACAATAAGGAAGATCTGTCCTTGAGAAGCACAGTCGGCTTATGGGATGCATAAGGAAGAAATGAGATACATTTTGAAACAATAGAGAAAGAGAGAGAGAGAGAGAGAGAGAGAGAGAGAGAGAGACAGAGAGAGAGAGAGAGAGAAAAGGAAGGAAAGAAAGAAGCAGGAAACCTGCATGTACTTGACATGTATAGTGCTTACTCCCCAATACTGGGGAAGGATTGCAGTGTTACTCCCACTCTCCCATCATCATGACCCAGTAGACAGCAGCTAAGGAATGACCCACTACAATTAGTGGTTCCAAAAGCACAGGCTGAGCACCCTTCTTATAAAGAAATTTAAATCAAAGTTCCTTGCTCTGTCTTGGAAAATCTGACTTACGAAACTGACCGAGCCAGAGCTGAGTGCTTCTCTCCAGTGTGAGTTCGCTGGTGGTGATTAAAAGTGGAACGCTGACTGAAGGCTTTCCCACACTCGATACATTCATAGGGTTTCTCACCAGTGTGAACTCTCTGGTGCACGATGAGTTGTGAGCTGTCACTAAAGGCTTTTCCACAATCGTTACATTTATAGGGTTTCTCCCCAGTATGGGTTCTCTGATGCACCATGAGACTAGAGCTGTAACTAAAGACCTTCCCACACTCATTACATTCATAAGGTTTCTCACCAGTGTGAATTCTCTGGTGTATAATGAGGTGTGAGTTCTGATTGAAGGATTTTCCGCATTCGTTGCATTTATAGGGCTTTTCACCTGTGTGAAGTCTCTGATGTCGAATAAGACATTTACTCAGGCTGAATGCCTTACCACACTCATTACATTCAAAAGGTTTTTCTCCAGTATGAATTCGCTCATGGTCAACAAGCTGAGAGTTCTGATTGAAGGCTTTCCCACACTCCCTACATTTGTATGGTTTTTCCCCAGTATGGAGGCTTTGATGCCGAATAAGACATTTACTCCGACTGAAGGCCTTGCCACATTCAATACATTCATAAGGCTTCTCCCCAGTGTGGATTCTCTGATGGTCAATAAGATTTCTATTAGAACAGAAAGCTTTCCCACACTCATTACACTTGTAGGGCTTTTCACCAGTGTGAAGTATCTGATGTCGGACAAGGCTTTTACTCCGAATGAAGGTCTCCCCACACTCATTGCATTCATAAGGTTTCTCCCCAGTGTGAGTTCTTTGGTGGTCAATGAGTTGGGAACTCTGAGTGAAGGCTTTTCCACATTCATTGCATTTATAGGGTTTCTCCCCATTATGAAGTCTCTGGTGTTGAATGAGGTGGGAGCTGTGCCGGTAGGTCTTCCCACACTTGCTGCATTCATAGGGCTTTTCCCCCGTGTGGATTCTGAGATGAACTATGAGCTGAGAGGTCTGCCTGAAGGTCTTACCACACTCATTACACTCATAGGGTTTCTCTCCAGTGTGGATTCTCTGATGGCCAATGAGGTGTGAGCTCCGATTAAAAGCTTTGCCACACTCATCACACTGATAGAATTTCTGTGCCTTCAGAACTCCTTGATGCTCTGCAGGACTGGCGGATAGATTTGGAAGTTCCCCAAGTTCCTTATAATCACATCCACCTTTCGTGGACTTGTTTTTATCCTCATGTGTTATTTCCAAGAAATCACTTTTCAGTCTGTTCCCTTCCTCACCTGAAGGTTGCACTTCTGGCTTCTCTAAAGCATCATCACAGTCATCTCCAGCCTCTGGTCCCGCAGGAACCACCTCACAGAGGTCTCCTGATGTCCCATCAGATGATTCTGATCCTTTAGAAATTTCCTGCTTTGGAGGCAACTCTGAATTCTCCATCCTAGTGTCCCCTGCGGCCAAGAGAAAGAAGAAAACAGCTTTTACTCATTTTTTGTCCCATTGAGGAATCCTGATTGTCAGGAGTCTATGTGCCTGAAAAAACCTTCAAATTATTGGTGAGGAATAAGGTACCCATTGAGAATCGGAGAGAGAATGAGAAATAGCTCAAATTTTTCTTCATGGACAGAAAGACAAAGAGGGGTAAGATAGTCAGTGGAGGAGGATGGACAAAGAGCCATCAGGACAGACAGATGCTGAGTTAGCACTGCCAAGTGAGCAGGGTAATCAAGTAAGCAAGAGACCAGATGTAAAGCATGTCTGATCTTCCAGAAGTTACTGAGATGCCATGTCTCCTTAGTAAATGATAAACTCTAAGATCTTTTCCAACCATGACATTTTATGGTTCCATGATTCTCAGCAACAATGTTGTGGAGAGTGACGGCAAATACCTCAAAGGAAATATGAGAAACAGGATGGGAAAACACAAGTTGAAGGGAGATTCTGATTATGAGGGTATGGTTAGAAAAAAAGTACAAAAAAGCAGTGATTCTGTTATGATAGGACAATGAGAACATTTAGAGAAATGATGGGTTGAGAAATGCTGGAGAAAAGTACTGACAGGGAGAGCAGAATTCTAAAGGTGGGGCTCTCCTAGACCCTGCAACACGGGACTGGTAGTAACCGGTACTATATTTCTATAAAAATTAAGAAGGGCATCAATCATTGGAAATATAAATCAAAATATGACTTTGGTACCTTGATAATCTAAAATCATAAGAAAACCGAAGAGTTGAATATGTGCTTTTGAATTCTAGAATTTTGAATTCAAAAGCTGGGAGAAGGTAGAACAATCAAGCTTATAGTTAAACACATAAAATGTGGTTCCTTTTAATCACATCTAAACCAAAGCTACAAATGCTACTTTAGAATATCAAAGTTGTAGATTTCTGAATCCCTGATTCTTAAGTCCACCCTCTCCAGGTTGGCTACTGTCCTGGACTTGTGCATCAGAGAATCTGCCCCAGAAACGTCCCTTTCCAGGATACTGTCAGGCCCCAGCTTTTGCTCAGAGGGAAGCTGAGGCAAACTATGCTTTGTGCCAAGTAACGCAGCTCATCCCAATGTGGACCACAGGTGACTGGACCAGGGCCAGGCACTACGCCCACGTTTAGCTTTTCTGTAGATTAGTCATCGGCCTCTGCTGTGGCCCAAGCCCAAGTTCTGCCCAGAGATGATATTTAAAGGCTGAAGCACCCTTGCAGCCCCTCTCTGAGTACACTCTGAACTGGAAGTAGGGCAAAACGAAGGAAATTACCCTACAGTCAGAGCTCGAGCAGAAATAACGCATGGAGAGAAGCCAAACCATCAGCAAGCAGAAGGTGTGAGTGAACAGAAAGTCCAATTAAGAAGGAGTTATGAGGGAAATGAAAGATTCAGAGTGAAGAGAACGGGCAGCAGTGGGAGGAGAAAACAGATATGCAGAGAGCAGCTGTGTTACATTCCCAGTAAAACAGGGCGGAAAAATTCATTTACTTTTGTTGCCAAGGCTCCCGGGCCCCGCGGTTTCAGGGACGCCTTGCTTCTTGAAGTCTGGTGTAGCTGCTCGGTTTATACGGGGTTCCCAGTGCTGTAGCCTTACTGTGAGTCACAGCTCAGCCCTTAAAATACCTTGAGCGGCTTTCTGTTCCTCACAACTACAGACTCTAACTAATAGCCAGCCTAGCTCAATCCATGATGAAGTAGAGAGAAGCCTGATAACTGTTAAAGCTGGGTGATGGGCAAGACAGGTTCGTTATACTGTTCTCTCCCCTTTGTCTACATTCGCAATTTTTCGTGATGAAAAGTTATGAAGAAAAGGAATATAGCAAAGAAACCGTGAAGGAGGCAGAGCTAAGGGACTGGGGCACGGAACCATTACCCCATGAGGCCACGCTGCGGTGCGTTTCTGGCATGACGTTCCGACGCCGGGCTCTCTGACTCAGTGCCGGACCTTTCCACTTCCTCTCGGAGTAGTCCACAGACAGGAACTCGTACGCTGCAGACCCCTGGAATGACAAGCTCCTGTTGCTCAGTGACATTCCCTGCCTGGAAGGGCAGCGTCATCAGAGAGCACAGGGTAAGGGCCCTAACGGGAAAAAGGCTGGGGAGGGAGAGACTGGGATGATACATCTAAAAGGACGAGTCTGGGGCAAGAGAGTCCATGAACTCAGCAGGTGGGACCAGCCCCAGGAAAACACTCAGGCGGGAAAGCCACAGGGACAGTCTCAGAACAGGCCAGAGGCCGGCAGATGCGCTCTAGCTATTCCTGGGCCACGGACTCGGATCTCGGTGAAGACGGAAAGAACCAAGCTCACCTGGGGCCTGACCGCCCGAAGCACCGTTCCCGCCGCTTGGTCTCCTAAGATCCCTGCCTGGCAAAGGGCAGGCACCGGGGAAGCACGTCGAGCTGGGGTAGGAGAGAAAGCTATGAGTGGGACGAGCCCAGCCCTTGGCTCCAGTGAGGTCTGTATCCCAGGGGGTGGATTCACGAGAACCCAGGCAGCTCCACACACACTGGCTCTCGCCCCTCTTGCACACCACACAGGTGTTATCCTAAGCATGCTGTGACTTTTCCATGGAGGACGCAGTAGAAGGTCCCTAGTTAAAGTGAATACTGGCTTCTCCCAGCCCTCATCTCCAACCCCTCTGAAGGAAGCTGTACTTCATTTTCTTTTTAAATTGAAGTATAAGTGACATATAATAATTGTTTAAGGTGTACAACATAACAAATTGTTACTTGTATATACTGCAAAATAATCACCACAAAAAATCTAGTTAACATCCTTTACCACATATAGTTCCAAAAAGATTTTTTTCCGCTTTGGCCGTACATATACTAAGATTGGAAGCTACACTTTGGACCACTTTCTCTCCCTCATGGCTCCGCTAGGATCAGCCTTGCCTGATTTCCCCCTAGGATCGCTGGCCCCTCATTCCCTGGTTTCTTTTCCTTCTCCTGCCCTCTTATTTGGACGCTCCAGGCACTCAGGCCTCGGTGCTTTTTTTCCTGTCAGAGATCACCGATGCTCACTGCTCTGATGTTCTATTCTCTCCTAGCCATCTTTCACAAGCTTCCAGTTGACTATTAGACAATTCATTTAGTGTCCCACAACAACTTAAGTTCAGTGTCAAAAATGCATGTTCTTATCATTTTCCCTTCCTGACTACTCAAGTTGTCAATGATTCCAGATATTAGCCCCAAATCTCTAATTCCCTCTCCTCTTCGTTGCCCCATGGCTTCTTCTTTCACAATGTCTGTCTTATCTATCTCCTTCCATTCCGCAAAACCCGACTCAGGCAATAATGACCCCACATTCATTCTCCTAGACTAGCTTCCTATTGAGGCTCCTGGCTGCTGGTCTCCCCATTTGATCCATATGGCTCACATGTGCCAGAAAAATTGTCCTAAAATATTGTTTCTAAAACAATATCCCCTGCCCCCAAAATCTTCCTGGCCTCAACTCTAAGGTCCTGTACAAGCAGACCGCAGGATCCCAAATACACTCCTCCTTGACCCCGCCTCAGCAGGGTCCAAGAAACTCCCACTAAGAGTCTTTGCTTATATCCTCTGCACTGGCACCTCCCATTTTCCTCTACCGTTTAAATCACTCCCCGATTTATCACTGTCCACTCCCACTGTACCTCCTCCATGAAGAATCCCTTGCCCACTTCAGCTCACCATTAACAATGTTCACACTGCTCATTGATGATGGTATCAAATCCTTGGCCACACCTATCATTCTTGTGTATCTTATAAGGTTGCCTCTTCACGCACTGTGACTGACTCTCCGCCAACTAGATAACAAGCTCTTTGAAAGCAGTGATGGTGTACTATACCTCTAGGGTCCCCAATAGTGCCTCTCTCATGACATATGCTTGGCAAAAACTTGCTAAATACATAAATATTTGAAGAATAAGAAAAAAGGAACACACAAAGTCACTCAGGAGGGAAGACCGAGGGTGGGGCAATGACGGCTTCCAAGAGGAGGGAAGTGGGGAGATGAAGGAGACTCCAGAGAGAAGAGAGGCGTGACTTCAGGCCAGAGCTGGAGGGGTAAGTACCGGAGTGCCTATTGGGGAGGTGGTGGGCCCCTGGGTCATGAGAAGGTTCCAGGTGGGCTCCTGGGGCCAAACCCTCACTGAGGGGTGAGGCAGGAGGACATTCCTCTGTTGTACCCAGGGGTGTCACTTCTTCCAAATGCATTTCCTCTTCCTGTCCTGGAGCTGAAACCTAGAGACAAGGAAATACAATTGGGTTCAAAAGAGCATCCTCCAAGATACAGAAACCTAAACCTCTAAGAAGCACCCCCAGAAAGCAAGCCATGGAAAAGAAGAGCCAGAGTATCCTTCCAGCCCCACCAGTACAGCCTGCTAGGGGAAAATCTGTCAAAGCAGGAACTATAGCTTGCACTCCTACCAGCCATCTTTCTGTTGACCTTCCTGTTAGGAGATTGAAGACCAGATTACATAACTACTTCCATTGTGTGTTGGTTCTTCAAACACAAATTTGCTTTAAGAACCATCTAGAAATAGGAACCAGGAGAGCAATTTAGTACACTCCCTAGGGCCTTACCCTATAGAAGAGGTCAACCAGAAGTACCACGAAAATAAATAATAATCAGTGTATCCACCTGAATGTGCACAAATAATGCCACTGAGGCTGATAGCTCGAACAACATCCCAAAGAGTGGCTGACAAATCTCAAAAGAGCTTTTCCAATTTATCTCAGCAAAAGTGTCTTCTCTTCAGAGAAGCCATCCCTGACCACACTGACAAAGCAAGGATAGTCACTCTTTCAAACTACCTGATTATATTTTCTATAGCAAGTATTAATCTGTATATTATCTTATTTATACTATTGTCTATTTCTCCCCTAATGAAATATAATCTTTTTGAGCATAGGAACTTTATCTTGATCACTAGCTCCTAGAACAATGCTTGGCCTAACACTGGTAATCAATTAATATTTGCTGACCAACTTCCTCTCAATATTCTGCAAGGAGTTTTTAGGGTTATCTGCAAATTCAGCTTTCAATATTTACTACCTCTCCCCAATAATTTATATAAAAAAGTCAAATAAGATCAGATAACACCAATCTCTAGAGAATAGACCTCAGAGAATAGACCTTTTATTTCTAACTGTTGTTTGTTGTAATCAAACCAGCTCCTCACAATCTCATGGTTACTATTTTCACCAGCATTTGGAGCAGAAAACCTAAAACATCTAAATAAATCATGTTTCTAAGCTTGCTCGCTCTGGAATGTACATGGTATGGCATAAGGTAAAAACTGCTCCTTCAATAAGCCATATCTAACTGGGTTACATCTGCTGAGATGGGAGGGGACTCACTCCTTTAGCATATATCCAGCATAGTGGTAGGACCAGGAGGCTCCCTAGGGTCTATGGTTCCTAGGCTCTCCACTAGACGGTTCTTACAAATTGGAGTTACAGCTCTTAAATACAGCAGCTGTGGGTACTGGCAAAAGACAGAACTTAAATGCACTGTGAGAACACAACCTTGCAATTCACCAACAATTAAATCTCAGAACAGTTCTTATTCATTATCTAGGACTCACAGGTTTCCTGTCCTCACAGGCATGAAATCTCCATTCTAATTTTCATTCTACGATGGCATTCCACAATAAGACACTAAAAGAAAGCTAGGGGCTTAGAACCTAGGAAACCGAAAAGTCCTGTTTCCCACACCTAGTGGTACCCAGCAATAACCATACTTTGGTTAAATCTTATGGACGAAGGGAATGCTTACTAGCTCTGTCATCTTAGATGAGTCAATTAATCTCAGTGTGCTCACATCACTTGTCAAATGGAGATAATGATTACTATTTGTGTATTCTGTAAGCCCACTAGGAGCTGACATGAGATATAGGACAAAAGCATTCTGTAAGTTGCATGATTCTGCAGCCCAGCAGGTATTACCCTACAGCCCTCCCCAGCCCCAAAGTGCACACATGCACATGCTCACTCCTGTTAAGTAGACTGACTCTGATCTGCCCTGATATTCCTTAATCTCTCTCTGGAAAAATGCCATGAAAAAGCTTGTTTATTCATTTAGCCATAAATTCATTTTATGAGCCCATGCTAGGAAAGTCATGTTCTCACATCTTTATGTCAGAAAACTGAGCTGATAATAGTGGCAGAGTAAGAAATTGAGATCCCACACCTAGGCTGGAGCTATGAGTGTCCAGTTGCCCTGTCAATTGTTAGTTACTCTCTTGGGTTTGTGACTCAGTCACTTTTTTCTGAGGCTCCCTGGATAAAATGGAGAAGGAGTTCTCTTCTGCTTAAGCAAAAGAGAATAGGAAAATTTTTCTTCCACCCTCCTCACTAAATAGCACTCTAAACACTTCCTCAGCCACTTGTCTTTGCCCATGGTTAGGCCTAGTTGCTTGCTAGACCTTGGTGATGGCTGATTTATTGCTGTGTTTACTTGTTTACACAAAGAAATAATAGTTGATAATGGATTTGGTAAGTCCAAATGGGCATTGGTAGTACTCCTGGAAAAAGGTCTAGCTCTAGACCTATCAACTGGAACTGGTTCCCTAAATATGTAATCATTTTTTAAAAACCATTGAATAAAGTTATGTGATGGGTACTCAGGAGATTTCATATGCTGGTTTTCCCTGGTAAAGTGCAAAGGAGTAAACGTAGAGGGGACCCTAATCCATCCTGCTCAGCTGCAACAGAGCAATTTGAGACTCATCCAGAGGAACTGACTTATCTGTGGTGTGATGGTCTTCTGACCTGCCAATTTAGCACTAATCTAGATGTTGCTGTGAAGGTATTTTGTACTTGTGATTAAAAATCATAATCAGTTTACTTTCAGTAAAGGAGATTATCCAAGGTAACCTGGACGGGCCTAATTCAATCAGTTTCAAGGCCTAAAAATCTGGGCTGACTGTTCCATGAAGAAATTCTGCCTGTGGACAGCAGCTTCAGGCAGCCCTTCCTGATGGCCTGCCTGACAGGTTTCAGACTTGCCTTGCCATCGCAAGCCATTTTCTAGCAATATAAATATTTATACACTTATACATGTAACTTTCTAATGGTTTTTTCCTCTGTGGTTGAACCCTGACTGATACACATGGTAACCGAACTAGTTAGCTTTGTGGTCCTGGAAGCCAGATTTCCCACTGTTATCGCCCTCCAAAGTTTCCTCTAATTTGAGTTACCTTGGCTTTAAATTTGAGAGAATCCACGGAAGTAGAAAAAATTGAATTTAGAATAAAAGAGGCAAAAAACAAACAAACAAACAAAAAAACAAACCCAGTTGGGTTCAGAAAGCTAGAAAAGGAGCAAATTATAAGGCCTAGAAATGTCACCTCTCATAAGGAACCTAAAAGACAAGAAGAGAGAGAATTGACTGAGCAGTCTGAGGAAGTGAGTAATGAGAACTTCTCAAATGAGGGCCCATGTTATCCACATACCCAAAGGTTTACTTCCCCTCACCATGCTCCCCCATTCTAAACATTGTGTAGATCCTCTACCTGCCAGGAGATGCTATGTGGATCTCCAGGCTGAAGTTGGGCTCATGAAACACTATTTCACAAAACACTATTTCATAAAGTGATTCATGTAGCTAGGCTGCAAATTGTATTTGTTTATGGCTTGGAGCACAAAACTATTTCCCCTCCATCCAGGGAACTAAATGGCTCAGGAATCCTAAGGGCAAACCAGCCTAGAGCCAAAGGAACAGAGAATGGCTATCCCCAGGCTAACCTAAGCCCTAGAGTATGGTTCTAGATGCCATTATAGACTCAGTGCTTACCTCTCCTGGTCCACTGAGGTGTCTCTGGAAATCCTCCACGACAGCTACAGCTTCCTCACCACTTTCAGGGTGATGCAGCTGCACCCAGGTCCGAAGCTCCCCAGGCAGGATGCTCAGGAACTGCTCCAACACCAGCAGCTCCAGGATCTGCTCCTTGGTGTGCACCTCTGGCATCAGCCACCAGCGACAGAGCTCCCGGAGCCGGCTCAGTGCCTCTTGCGGCCCAGACATTTCATGGTAACACAACTGCCGGAAGTGCAACCGGAAAATTTCACAGACAGGAGTATGGCTCTTTTGAAGACTGCAGCCCTGCACCCAGGTCTGGCTCCCTGGCTCCTGCTTCATGGTCAGGCGCCCCTCCTGCTTCTGAAGAACAGCAGTCCTAGGGATGAGGCCTAAACTTCCCCTGCCTTGGGTGGCCATTGTGATCCCAAAGAGAAGCTTGTTCCAGCAGTAGTTTGTCTGATTAAAAGCAGTTTGTCTGATGATGGTCTGTAATTCAGGTATCAGGAGCTGTTTTTCAGGAGTCGAGGCTGTGTCACCTACGGAAACATCGAGAGAGAAATCAGAGGCCCAGAGTATTCGGTCCCAGGCTGATGACAGACCCTCCACAGTTAAAAAGCAAAGCTCCAGAAAAAAAGGGCACAACCAGGCCAGTCTCTTTAAGCGTCTCTCCACATGACTTCCTTCCTGAAACTTTCAGTGCCTACATAACCGACAGATTAAAACCTAAATATCTATGCCTTGCATTCACAGTCCTTCACAATCTGGCCTTAGGTCTCTGTTCTAGCCACACCCCCTACCACTGTCCCCAGGTACCCAGGTTAGAAAGACAGCACTGATCTCCAAATGTGGGATATGCATAATCCAAAGGGTGCATAAGAAAATAGTGTTGTTATTTAATTCCTATTTAGTGTATGTTTTATAATGTGCATTAAATTTATAAAAACACTAGATATCTTTAATTTACAAATAAACTTATGTTGTTAGAAGTGCATGCTCAACACCCTCCTACTCCTCTCTATTAAGATAGAGATGCACAATAAAGAAAGTTTGGGACCAAAGCTCTAGAGACACAGCTAGTATACTCTTCCTTGTTTGGAGATTTCTTCTTCCTTTCAACTTCTCCTATTCATCTATCAAAACCCAGACGAATGCCATTTTCTCTTGAATTTCTTGACTGTCCCATAACCTCTTTTTCTGTACCTCTCATTATAATACTGTATTTTAACTCGTTTATACACAACTCAACACTCACACCCTCCAAACTGCTGGATGGACACCAAGAAAAGGAACTCGATGGAATCAAAATGCCAGACCTTTTTCTACTCAACCCACCTTCCCTAGAAAGCCTTCCTGATCTCTCCAGGTTTAAGTGGGGTTATTGCCTCAGTGAGCCCACAGTATCTTTCATTCAAAACCTTTGATAGAGCACTTCTCACATTGTGTTTGTGGCTTACATGGTTGTCTCTCCACTTTGTGGGAGGACTCAAAGGGCAGGACTGGTTTCCAGTCATCTTTGTACATATGTGCGTACAGCCCACACAGCAACACGTTATCTGATAAACGAATGAATGTGCTTCATTTAGCCATTACTGACGCGGGGGGAAAACTTCTGTTCAGTTTATACATGGTAAGAAAAATTTTTATTTTCAATAAAAATATATATTGAAAATTAGCACCTTAGTGGTAACTAGGGCATTTGTGCTATGCTTCCAATTCACCATGCATCTTGGTATCCTGGGTAAACTACTTCTCTTTAGGCCTCAATTTCTTTAAAAAGGCAAAGATGCACTTAAAAATAATATTAACTCTGCTCTGAGATGCCACACAATGCAGAAAGTTCAGGCCATTTTCCTATTTCCTTTACTGTTTCGAATACTCAGCAGCTCCTCTCCTCTGGATTTTGTGGGTTTCCAAGTCACACTCCACGTTTGAAATTCCGACGGCGTCTGACCCACGTCTGACGCTTCTCATTCTGTCCTAGTACAAAGCTGGGACAACATCTATCTGCATTTCGCGTTCAACCAGGCTTCTGCGGCGCCGCTCACCTGGCCACGTCTTCCCTGTTCATCGCTGTACCCACAGGTGCGCGGCTCCGTGCCAGCCACGGCTGGTCAGGAGAATGGGACAAAGAGAAGGTTCTGCATCTGGCGGCTTCTGAGCGTCAGAGGGACAACGCCGCCGGCCGCAGGGGCGAAACGTGGGCCCAGGCAGCGTCGCTGACTTGGGCTGTGGACGTCCGCGGCTCCAGCCCAACGAGCCCGGCCCCACGACCCCAGCCCCGGCAGCGCCTCCCTCTCCGCCACCAGCCCGCTCACTGGGGCACCTCAGGGAGGACTCCCCGGCCCGGGACACCACAGCGGCCGGCAGAAGCGAAAACAATGGCCGAGCCGGAAGTAAAAAGGCCCTACTTCCGGCCCTTCCAGGATCCGGAAGTCTCTGCCTTGAAGGTGGGCGCGTGCGCCCCCTTACCCGGGAATGAAGGCGGCACCCCGGGCCCGGGACAAGTCGCTTTCTTCTCGATTCTCCACCGCGACCGGAGCTGGGGCGGGGCCTCTCAGGCTGCAGATATACAGCTGTCAGACCATTCAAGGTTTGGGCATCCAGACGCACCCCAATAATGCCCTTTCCCCTCTGGGTGGCCACGGGTAAGATACCCAACCTCTGAGGCTATTTTTTTCATCTGAAAAAATTTGGAATATAGTGTGTGCCTCACGGGACTATGAGCGCTGAAAGGGGTCACATACAGATACTACATAACAAAAGGCCTGGCATATCCTGAACCTTTAGTCAATTATTATACGGTATGTGATGCCCAGGGCATTTTCACCCAATCTGAGTCTCAATGAAGAGAGCAGTAGGTATCTCCATCTTACCAATGAAGAAACCAGCCCAAAGACTGTGATATTTTTGCCCACAGATGTGGTTAATCTTCCCTAAATGAACACCGCCACTCTGGTGTCCAAGGAGAAGCCCTAAGGGAGGGTGAAGGAGCCGATAAAAAGTGGGAAGGTGTGGGGACAACAAAATCTAGATGCATAATCTAATATCTGGGAGGCAGGTGTTACCCAGGTGAACTTCATCTTGAAGAGTGATTTACACACAGAAGCAGGAACAGGACCCTGCTGCTAACATGACTGAGCAGACCCTGAAGGCACAACTTCTGGGTGTAATGGCCATGGCTGAAGGGTAAAGAAGATGAACCACTTTCCAATGGAGTTAACTATGAACCACTTTCCAATAGAGTTAACTATGCATTGTATTTATTTCACTGTAGCCCAGCAGATAGGCCCTTATAGGGTCCAAAGTAACAGTTTCCTGGGCTCCAGAGATTAGCAATATCCTAAGAGTGTTCTGGGCCTACATCTGGAACTGACATGTGTCCTTCATGTCTCTGCACAAGCCAGCACAGAAACAAAGGCGTCAGAAGACTTGCTGCAGAGTTTCCACAGGCTTAAGGGAGATCTCTTAGACAAGTCTTTGCCCACTGAACCTAACGAGTGACCTTCTGATATCAAGGTCATCCTCTATATTTGGAAATCTCACAGGGGGGCAGTCCTAGCCTCTGCCTGATATTGTCATTGGATGTGGCCTGTTGCTTCATTGAGGCCTCAGAGACTCAGGGTTCTTGAGCAGAAAACAAGTGCTGTCAGCTCTGGTTTTCGGGTTTCCTTGACTATGTGTTGTCCCACAGTTCTGGCTGCCTAGTATGTAGGAGACACAAGGATCTGGAAAACAAGATTGAGTTTTTTTGTTCTTTAGAGTTATTTCACGCTCAAGTGGTTGGCTTCATTGTCTGTAAGGGCCAGATTCATCCCTCTGTGGCCAGCACTGTGGTCTGATCTATGATGACTAGGTTGGGTCCTAGCGGGGAAGACATGCTCCAGGATGCCTTCCACATAGCACCTTGGGACACCTGCATTTGGGCCAAAGACAATTCCAGAAGGCCTGAGGGAACACTATCCTGACCTCGCCAGGAAACCATGACACTGGCTTTAGTATGAGAGCTAACAGAACAGGCAACCCAAATGCTACATGCCTAAAGCAGAACTCACCATCTGCCCCCAACTCTGAAGCTCCACCCATGTTCCCAGCACTGTAAAAGGCACTATCATTCACCCAGAGGCTCGAATTAGAACTCTGGATGTCGTACTATGGGCTGAGTGACCATGGGCAAGTTCCTTAGTGTCTCTGTGCTGCGGCTTCCTCATCTGTAAAATAAGAATAATAATATTACCTAAATCGTAGAGTCGATATGAGAATTGGGTGAGATTATACCCACAAAGCACTTCGAATGGTGCCTGGCCCATTGTAGGCATTATAGATGTTTTCTAGTATTATGTTTTCTCCCACTTCTTCATCCCCTGTATCCAGATTATTGCCAGGGTCTGCCAAGCTTTTGTCCCATTTGTATGTAGCAACGACAACAACAGAAAATACACAACTTACTATGCTGCTCTGTGTCACCGTTGTTCCCTACCCTGTGTTAAGTCCTACCTGAGGCGAGGGCACCTGTAAAAAGGGTGTTACTAGGGGTCTTTGGATTTAAGGAAACCACAAAGAGAGGAGCATAGTCAGGTCTGGAGATTTTCTACCCCCAAACTTCTCAGATGTTCTGACATCATTTGTGTGCACAGTTCCCTTTTCAGTAGCCAGGACACTTACACACCCTAAAAAAAATAGTAGGGCCCTAGAACCCATCCCCACCCCTATAGTTGTAATATGGGCAGGAACCTCACATTTGTGAAGCAGAATAGGAGTGGATGGGGCCAAGCCCTAGCTAGGAGAGCAGAGACTCTCCTGTCACCTCGAAAACGTCTACCTGTCCTTCAAGACAGCTGAGAAACCCCCTTCTCCAGGAAGTCTTCCATGTACTCCATTTCCCCACCTGAATTAAATGTCGCTTCTTTTGCACTTCTGTGGTGGCCTTCCATGTGCTTGTCACGGCCCTTATTTGTCATAACGTATTAACACTGCTTAGTTGTAAGCCTTCCCCACTGTATGGTAAGCCCGATGTGGGCTGACACCATGTCTTTCTGATTCACAATTGAGTCCTCAGACACAAACTCAAATCTTGGCGGTTTTAGTGCCTGTCTTCTTGGCTGGAAGACAAGACCAGGCCACCTTTGCTTCCCTGGTATCCAACGCCTAGCCTAGCCTAACCTCTAAAAAATGTGTCCTTAATTCTGGCTGCTGCAGAAGGCTTTATAACCAGGGAAGGAAGCTGATCATTCTGAGCAGTAGAAAGTTGTCTGTGATTACCAGCTATACTGTGGAGCTTGGAGGGGAAGAGGCAGAGACATCCCTCCTATCTGCTTATCTGCTTTGCAATCCCAGTGCCTCTGTAAGACAGGATTATTAGTTTTCAGGTGATGATTCTGAGACTTGATAAACGTCCTGCTAGCTGGGTAACATTTTATGGCTGAAAAGGGCAAGGAAGGCTTTGGATTCAGGTCTATAGAATTTCCCTTCTCTTCTTCCTACTGCAAGGTGCTGTGTGTCTCTGACCCTAATTCATTCCCATTCTTTAACTCCTCTCAGATTTCTCCCTGCTCTTGGTGTGCCAGGCCCTGTTACGAGTGCGAGGAGGGTCAGCAATGGTCACAAAGCGTGGCCTCGCGGTAGACCCGAAGAGCGGAAAGATTTTCTTCGTCTTCTGGCCTCAGGGAACGCCGCCATGAGTCCCAGCGGGCGCCAATCCCAGGAGGGGAGACCACAGAGATGCGCAGGCCTCCAAGCTTCCTAGACAGAATAGGAAATTGTTCCAAGCGCTCAAGGACCACAGAGGAACTCGCTTCCGGCGCCTCTTTTGTTCGGCACTCGTTAGAGGGGACTGCTTGTGGGGTCGAAGGCTGACTTGCGGTGCTGGTGGGCATGTCACCTTCGGGCGCTAAGGGTGGGAGCTGCGGTCCATGGTGGCCACACCTCCCCCGCCCGTCGTTGGCGCTGATACTGACTCTCGGGACGCGGGTCCTGAGAGCGGCGGGACCTGCCGGGAATCCCGGCGCACCAGCGACGGCGCGGCTGGGCACGCGGGACTCGGCCTCCCCGCTCAGACTCCGTGCTTCCATGTTCTGGCGGTATTTGAGGCCCATCTGCGAATTGGAAGGAGCCTTCTCAGCCCATCCTACCCACAGGTTCCAGCCACCAGGTCGTAAGCAAGGACTCGTGGACTGCAGGAAGGATCCTTAAAGTCGTTCCTCCAGCCACCACTTTCCCATTTTACAGGTGGGGGAAACAGGACCACGGAGGGATAGGAACAGAGGTCTTAGGCCTCCCACTCCAGAGACCTTGTCTCTTTTTCTGTGACAGTGTCTGTGACCTTAATTCTCCTAAAGCACAGTTTGGGGCTTGGAAATAAATTTTACACTATTGGTTGTAATCTTTCAATTTCTGGGTATTGTTAAAGCTCAGATTTGAAATCCAAATTATTCCCGAAGCATCTCAAACGTAGACTGCAATTTCCAGTCTGTGAGTATGACAGACCCTGGCTCTGCCACTTACCAGTTGGGATTTGGGACGTTGGGCATATTACGTCTCCAGTGCATCTTAGTTTATCTGTGAAATGGAAAAAAAAAAAAAAAAAAATCCGTTCCTGCTTGCCCCTGAATCTCCGGATCATTAAGTGAGGTAAGTTGTGAGCTTTGACATGTTTTATTAAGCACCATACAAACCTAACAATGAGTGTGCAAGAAACTTTGGGTTCCAAGAAGGAGACAGGAGTAAGATTGGACCTTGGAAGTGGCAAGGGGCAGGTAGATATCTCTGACTAAAAGGCAGTGTGACCCAACATAAGAACAGTCCAGAGAGTCAAGGGAGAGATTCATCTTGAAAGGCATAAGAGACAGCCTCAAAGGGAACAGCATTGAGTTGGGCCTTGTAGCATTTAGGTATGTTGGGAAGAGGAGAGCCTGCCTGAGAAAGGGAACAGCATGATCAGATGTTGAGGGATGGACATTTGCGGGGAAGGGTCGTCATTTCAGTTCAGGTTTTTCCTATCGTAAACTATAGGAAATTAACAAAAACCAGTGATGCAATCTCTAGTTTAAATCTATAAAATCTGTGTGTCCCTAAGCCACCATAATGTCCCTCAATGATCTTCTTCCACTACATTAGAGAACAGATGATACTTATATTTTTTATTTCTATTGAGCAATGGGAAGAGAGTCAAAAAGAAACTGAACCCTGATAAAATTTCCTTCACATATGAGGCCTCAACATGCCTCCATCTGTCCTTAGAGCTCTTCCATGGCTAAGCCTATATTTTCTAAGAGTATCTAGCACATTACCCTGTGTCCCAATGACACCAGTGTTTCACGCACTAATGTTTCTACAAATTAAGCATACAGAATTCCCTGAGCGGCTGTTTCCAACTTCAGA